GGCTTATTTATTTTGAGAGAGGGGGAGGGAGAGAGAATCCCAAGGAGGCAGTGTGCTGTCAGTGCGGAGCCCCACGTGGGGCTGGAACCCACAAACCATGAGCTCATGACCTGAGCCAAAATCAAGAGTCAGACGCTTAACCGATGGAGCCACCCAATACCTGTATTTTTAACAAACGTGAAAGTCTCTGCCAGGCTTCCCTGGGTGAATCTTGCCCCAAGTTCATGGCCTCACCTCTCAGCAGGTTTGGCCAGCACAACCGGAGATCCAGCCAGAGCTGTCCCAGGTGCCGGGCCCCAACTGCTGGGTGGGTGGGTGTCTCACAGGTGCCTCACCCTGGCCCCAGAACTCCCACCCCAGGCCTGCCCTTCCTCCCATCTTCTCTTTCCCGGTGAAGGACACCACCATTGTGTGGACGACCAGGTCGTATCTGTTAGTTTGGCTGCAGAGCTGGCTGGGACCAGCCTTACCCCTGTGAGCAGCCTGCAGACTGTGGGCCAGCCACACCGCCCAGCTCACAGTTCCAGACAGCATGGCCTTTGCAGCCTCTCTTCTCATGGGGGGCTCCCTGCCCCTCCCAGACACCCCCATTCTCTTCACATCCTGACATACCGGCGGAGTGGCTCGAACCAGCCGTATATCTTTCTGTGCCTGGGTTTCCTCATTCTTAAAGTGGGGATAATGAGTTTCTGCCCGCGGGATTGTTGTAAGCACTTAGTGCAGCGTCTGGCACGTAGCTGGTGCTCAAAAGATGCTGGTGTGTTTTCCTTGATGGGCACAAGCCTCCTCTACCCCTCACTTGCCCGGTGACCACTCGCTTTCCTGCTTTCACCGGCCCCGCTTTCAGGACAGCACCTTTTCATTTTCCAGCTGGTCTCTCCAGAATTGGCCCTCTGAAGGCAGGGACCCATTGTGATTGTTGATGTATTCCCAGTATCTACCTTAGTACTCCACACTTAAGATATGCTTGCCAAGGGTTGGCTGGTTTCCTGAATTAACTCCATGAATCAACCATCCATTAACAATACTTAAGGACACCAGGGCACTGGGCCACCTGGGCGGCTCCATCGGTTAAGTGCCCGACTCTTGATTTCAGTTCAGGTCATGATCTCACGGTCCGTGGGATTGAGCCCCACATTGGGCTCTGTGCTGACAGCTTGGAGCCTGCTTGTGATTTTTCTGTCTCCCTGTCTCTCTCAAAATAAATACATACACAAAAACAAAAACAAAAACACTCAGGCACTGCCTAAACGTGCCTCCAAGCTCGACCACTTTTGTATGGCTTTGTGCAAGTTAATCGAACCTCTTAGCTTCAGTTTCTCATCTGTAAAATGGGAAGCTAGCATCTACCTTTTAATGAGATAATCACCGTGGAGGAATAAGCACAGGGCTCAGTTAACATTAGCTGTTGTCAGTGGTGGCAGCTGAACATGGGCACTTAGAAGGACAAAAATGACAGCAACAACCAGTGTGGAAAATACAAGACAATTTTGTGTCCTAGGACACCCCGAGGTATCTCTTCCAACTGAGTAATGGAACATCCATGAACAGAGTATAGGCAGGGTTGTGTGGTGTTTGGGGAAGGCTGTCCCCCCAAATAACTTTTCATTGTAAAAACAATGTCTTCCCAATATTCCTAATAGGCCTTGAGAGCTGCTACTGAAATATATTTCCGTAACAAAATCCCTTTTATCTAAAATCTAGGTAGGTTTCTTTCTTTCTTTCTCTCTCTCTTTCTGTCACCCTTTTAACAAATGTGGGTTTGGGTTTGTTGTCATTGTGGTTTTGACCTTTTCTGAGCTTGTGATTGCCTTTGTTGCTGCACGTGGAGTGCCATAATAGAGGCTGACCCCGAACAACATGTCTTTTAAAGGGAGAAAAGGGGGCGCCTGGGTGGCGCAGTCGGTTAAGCGTCCGACTTCAGCCAGGTCACGATCTCGCGGTCCGTGAGTTCGAGCCCCGCGTCGGGCTCTGGGCTGATGGCTCAGAGCCTGGAGCCTGTTTCCGATTCTGTGTCTCCCTCTCTCTCTGCCCCTCCCCTGTTCATGCTCTGTCTCTCTCTGTCCCAAAAATAAATAAACGTTGGAAAAAAAAAATAAAAAAAAAAAAATAAAGGGAGAAAAGCACCCCAAGGTTGACTGCGTGGAGTGTTCAAGTCGGTTCCAGCCACAAAGCTAGTGGGGGCTTCAGCCTCGTTGAGGGAGGACCTGGCCCTCCCGAGGCCCTTACCCCCCAGATTGGTGGTCCTTCTGCTGCACAACCCAGGCAGCAGTTTCCTGCTCTGATGCCCAGTTCACACCCAGGGACTGGATTCAGCCAGGCTGGGTGGGGCCTGGGCGCTCTTAGGTAATTGCCGCAGGGATCCGAAGCCTACAGTTTGCAAAACGCTGCCAACAGAGCCTGATTTAGGTTCCGGGGGGCTCCAAAGGGGGAGAGTCTAGGCAGGAACTGGCCCCGATTCTGGCTGTAAGGCAGTGTGGCTAGCCCATGGCCGGTATTTCGTGCGATGAGAGCAGGGTTTGGCTCAGCCCGGAGCTCTGGATCAGGCAGCCACCTCTTTCCAGGAGCCCAAAAACACATACTGAAGCCATCAGTCCATAGGACTGTTTTCCCATTTGATCAAAGCACAGGGCAAGGGACCACATGGAGAAAGGCCATTCTTGGCGCCTTGTTGCCTTTAAGCCTTAATGGTGTCATCTATTTATCACATGTTTCTGTTACATTTGTTTCCAGCGAGCATGAAGCCAGTGGGTTACTACCTCGCTAACTCTTGGCCTGTGGCTGTCTCCACACCCAGGACTTGATTGGAGGGGGAAAGCCACCCAAGGGTTTAGACAGCTCAGCTGCTAACAATGATGCTTTTCGCCTGATTCAAACATCCAAATGTTAGATTGTGTGCTTCTCAAGGAAAAAGGCTGCTCTCCTCCTCTCTGCATCATCTCCGGGACCCACTCCGGTGCTGGACAGCAGAGTAGCTGCTCAAATGAGTGGTGGCTGCCTGCATCTGTCGGTGGCTCAGCCCCGGCAGAATGCCCCTGCCTGGCGCTCACCCCCCACCCCCGCCCCCAGCCCACTGGCCCGGCTTCTAGGCCGCCCTGGGATGCCCTTGCCTCCCCCAGCTGTGCCCGGTCCAGGACGCAACGCAGGGAAACTCCTGTTTGGTCTGACGCCAGTGGGGTGGTTTTGAGGCTGCTCTCAGAAGAAACTGTCTCTGTGTGACAGTGGCGGTGGGGACAGAGCGGGCTTCCCAAAGCCCCAGGTGCCCTGGCTGCACCACGATCGGAGGAAGGGTAACAGGGGCGGGGGCATTACTGTGTATACAGAACAGGAGCAGGAAAGCACTCACACTTGGATGGAAGATCCTTGTGTTCGGTTCCGGGGACCTGGGAAGCCGATCTGGGCTGGAGCAGCTGACCCTGGCCTGGAATAGCTACAGGCTCAGGAAGGAACTAAGGAGGAAAGAACTAAGCTCTGCCCTTGGCTCTTCTTGCTGTTTCTCCAGAACCCGCAGAAGGCTGGAGGCCGGTGGGCGGGGCATGGGCCTGTGGGCGGGGCCAGACGGCGGTCTCCAGCGCAGGGGGGCGGGGCGGGCTTTGTGAGCATGCGTCCTGCTGCCTGGGCGCCCACCGGTGTCTCTCGGTTTCCCGCTCGCTCCCGGCTACCCGTCGCACTTGCCGTGTGGGAAGTAGCCCGCGGTGTGTGAAGAGGAGGGAACCGGGGTGGGGACTGGGGCGGCAAGTGTGCTGTCAGGGGCAGCTTGAACGAAGGTGCCCCCAAATCCATCCGAGGTTGAGAAGGGCGGGCGGTAGGTAGGTGCCGTCTCGGAAACGGAAATGGACAGGGTTGCACGTGGCACAGGCATCCGGGAGAGCGCCAGTAATACTAGAAAGTCGTTAGGTTTCCTGGAGTGTAGTTGTACCACCTCCCAGTTGCTGCCTCGCTGCTGGTGAGGGCGCCCTCCCACCCCTTGGTTGTGCTCAGAGCTCCCTAGACCCGCAGGAAGGCTAAGGGGGTGCCCCGACGCCGGTGTCTGCAGATTCGGAGAGGTCATTGACTCAGTGTTGGACATGTAGCTTGGAGTTTGAAATGCATCTTGAGCTTTGAAAACCCCTTTCTTGTGAAAATACAAGTTAATTTCACCGTTGGTGCTTTAGTGGGTGAAGTCTGTGAGGAAGGGCGCATGACACATCCAGCTTCTTTCCAGAACAGTTGTGGGTAGTTATGCAACTCTAAATTTAATCCAAAGCCTACATTCCCAGGGGCGAGCGTGCTACTGGCTGTAGGAAGCCGTCTGTGGACAAATGAGGATAATAGTTTGAGTGAATTAGCAAGTCTGGAGAGGAGGGCCCATCAGCAGAATGACAAATTTAGGATCTTTAAAGACATCTGGTCAGCGATGCCGGAGCTCGTGATTGACTGAGTGATTAATAATGGAAAACCCTTAGTTCAGTGTTTCTGCTGTCCCTCGCCCACTTGCCCAGCCAGGGCGGGCTGTCTGCTCCAGCCTGCCAGCAACGTCTCCAGCTGAACAATGGAGGCATTTAGGCCCCTCATCTTTGACCCTGGTGAGTTTACGCTTTCAGTTTTTCTTCTACTTACCCAACTTGTCTGTGTGTTTCCTAATTGACAACTCCGTCGCAAAGGCTCTTAATGCCGGTTCACATTTGATATGATTCCGTTCCACTTAGCCCACTGCTAGCTAGCCACGGCCTCACCCCTCAGGGTCGCCCTAGACTTACAGCTCCCGGTTCACCGTCTGGAGCTTACGGCAGACACAGGCAGCCATGGAACACGCCGGAGGGCTGAAGTTGGGCATGGTCCCCCTTGCTCTCTGACACCTATTGCCCCCGGGCCCTAACTCTGCGGTGGATTTCTCTGCAGGCTGAAGCAGCTGGACAAGCACAGCCAGGCCACGGCCCTTCAGCTGGTGCAGCTTCTCAACAAGCAGAATCAGCTTCTGCTGGAGAGACAGAGTCTGCAGGAAGAGGTGGGGCGTCTGAGATCCCAGGTACTGTGCAAACCCAGCACGGGGGGCGGGAGTCCTCAGGGCTGGCTCACCGGCCAGAGAACACAGCAGAATCCGCATGCAGGGCTTTTTCTCCTTCCTTTCTTCAGTGTTGCATCTTTACAGGTGAAATGCCCAGTGATCACATTGGTCCATTAGTAACCCGGGGCGGG